TCAGTCTCCGTTTCTTTCTGGAGAGCACATGCACCCTCTAGCAAATTAAAAACAAAAAGAAAACAACTGGGATGCAATCTGGGGACTCTACGCCAAGGAAAGTCTACAAATTTGATTTTTCCTACAAAGTCTTGCCTTACTTACCACTACAGAAGAAGGACAATTCTCCAAGAAGTTCTGTTTGTTTAGATGTATTGACAACGTAATCTTCAAACGAAGTCTGAGCTGCAGGTCTAAAGCTCTTCAAGGATTCCGTAGCTTTCTGTATTCTGCAGACACACATCATACATTTGATATAAAACAATTTAAGAAATTTCTGTGGTTTGTGGCGTTTTCTTCCCTACATGAGTTCCCAGCACTGTGCCCAGGAGCCTCTGCCTGCAATTATCAGGCTGGGTCACTGGGGGAGGGTAGTGAAGCTAACCACTGATCTTTGTTTTGAAGATCTTATTTTAGTGTAGTAGTCCATCCAGAACAGGTAACTGACTGACTAACTGTATATTCCCCTTGCTCCATGGCCCGGGTGTAAGTAAACTGCATTTCCCTATTGATAAGCAGTATTAATAAACAACATTTTAAAAAATAGAAAAAAAGGCAAATCAGATTAAATATCTGCAATGAAATTATCAAGTGTAAACTTAATGTTCAAGATAAGAGGGAACCAGCAGTTAGCGTAATGGCTATGTCGCTGGACTCCCACGTAGTCGACTGCGGTTCACGTCCTGGACCCAGTGGCTTACAACTCACGCCGGGCGCGTGTGCGCCAAAGATCCCGAGAGGAGAATGGAGGAGAAGGGATTGCGGTGTGACCATCCCCCCTGGGGGGTGATTTCTCGCTTTCTGTCTCTATGTCTCTCTGTCTGTCTGGCAAGCACACGTGCCCTACAGCGAAAATCTCTCCAAAAAAAAAAAAAGATAAGAATGAAGACTTCACACTAACATGACATTAAGAACCATTTTGGGGGGCCAGCAGGTGGCATCAGTGGTTAAGGTGCTAGACTCCCACATGACCAACAGTGGCTCGAGTCCCCAGACGCTGTTGCGTGTATGCCCTAAATCCCAAGAAGAGAATGAAATAAAGGGACTATGGCATGGTCATTCCCTGTGGGGGTGATTTTTCTTTTTCTCTCTATCTCTGTCACTCTCTGTCTTTCCAGAGACAAGTTCCCTATAGCAAAAATCTCTCTTAAAAAAAAAATCAAAATAAACAAACAAACAAAAACACCACTCAGGGAGTCAAGGGGAAAAAAGAAGCGAAACACTTAACAGACACAAAACTGGAAAAATTATATGTTGATGATAATGTGTACAGTAACATCTTTGACTGGACCAGTATACAGTGTTTTCATGCTGGGAAAATTCATCTTATGTGCTGTAAAGATAAGCAATGACTGAATGTGAAAAAAGAAAAAAGAAAATAATATTAAAAAAAAAAAAAACACTGAGCGTTTAAATAGAAATACAGAGCAGCGTTTAACAACACTACTCACAAGATTCTAAAGTGACAAGTAAAAGAAAGTACCTGAGGTGGAGTTGTTTTGCCGTCTGTACAAAGCAAGACTGGTCTGTCTCCTTAAGCACTTCTTGAGCATATCCTACAAGTCCGTTGTTTTCTAGAAGCCCCTGATATTCTTCCATTTGAGTCTGAAATTTGTCTAATCTTAGTTTCTTAGAAGCATCGATTGCCTTCAAAACAGATGATTTCCTCTCTTCTAGAATTTCAAAGAGCTTTTCGAAGTGTGTAATCGCTTCTTCTTTGGCCCTCTCTCCATTACACTATCATGAAACAAACAAAGCGTTACCACGTCTGTTAAATCTAAATCTCTTTTCACAAAATTCTCCATAGTTATATTTCATCTACAAGATGACAAAATTTTCAGAATTCAACAAAGAAAACTGAAGTGTTGCCAATAATAATAATAATAACAATGATAATAATAAAATCTTCCCTCTGACTCTGAGATCTTCAAAACAGTCTGGTATTAAATAGACTTAGCAAAGAACAATTTAGACTTATTTTGTCATTTTATAACATTGTACTTCTTTAATCTTTTAATCTTCAAAGTCTAATATTAGACAACTTAGTAGGAAAATAAATAAGAAAACAATCTTCAACTTGTATAAAAAAGATCTGAAGCAGAAGTCAACTGGTTTAACCAAAGAAATAGCCAAACAAAATTCCAGAATTTTGAATTCATTTCAAAATCAGGAATGTTTTAGCCCTTTCTAACCTATTTCAATTTTTTAAAAAAGGTCAATCAAAGCCCTGAAACAACAAAAAAAATCCTTTACTAAGATATAAAACTGTATACCCTCTCTTCAAATTAACATAGCTTAATTACAATTAAGCTGTGTGACCTTATGCAAATTATTTAACATCTCTGTACCTGAGTTTTTTCCTTCTGAAAACTGGGGACAGTAACAATTTATGGAGCCCAGATGTAGTGGCTCAGGCAACAGAATGCCACTGCATGACACGGGAGCCACAGAGGTAGCCCATGCTGGGATACCGGCTTGACCTCCACAGCCGAGTGCACACATGCGCACCTGTGCTCCTACCCCAGCATTCCCTCCCAGCCAGCCACCCAGGACCACAGACACGTGCACAGGCCGGATATAAAAGGTTGTCCTGGGAACCAAGTCCCTACTTTCCATATGACTTCCAGCATTGCATTACAATGGCTGGGTCTTCAAACATTCTTAGGCCAGCCAGTGGCATGGTGATTAAAGTAGCTGGAATTCACGTTTCAAGTCCTGGACCCAGCAGTTTGAGAAACAAACTGGGCATATGTGTGTGGACCCAGAATCCCAAAAGGAGAGAGAAATGGAAGTGAAAGGCTTGTGGTATGACCATTCCCCACAGGAGAGGATGCTTTCTTATGCTACCCTCCCACCTTCTCTGTCTCTCCCTGGCAAATATATGCCCCTATGGCTTTTTTTTTTTTTTTTTTTCAAAAAGAGCATTCTTAAAGCTGACAATGCAGGGCTGAAATGTACTGCAGTTTCCTGGGACCAGCAGTTAGCATAATGGCTATGTTGCTGGATCCCATGTAGTCAATTGCGATTCGAGTCCCAGACCCGGTGGCTTAAACTCACACCAGGCATGTGTGCGTGCATGCCCAAGATCCCAGAGGAGAATGGAGGAGAAGGGATTGTGGTGTGACCATCCCCCTGGGGGGTGATTTCTCGCTTTCTGTCTCTCTCTGTCTCTGTCTGTCTGGCAAGCGCACGTGCCCTATAGCAAAAACCTCTCCAAAAAAAGAAAAAAAAAAAGAAAAAGAAAAAGAAATGCACTGCAGTTTCCAATGGCTTCTGGTCAATATATTTTTCCCCCAGATTTCCTTGCCTGTTTCCTAACCAGAACAGTGACAGGTTGACACAGTGATATCGTTTCAATGCTGTACCACAACAATACTCAGAAATACCAAGCACACATAGGTACAAAGACTTGTTCTAGCTAAGCATAATTACAGATAAAAAGTGTCACGTCATCAATGAGTAAAAGTCCAGATAAAGACAAATTCTCTGGAGTACGGGATTCTCACTGATAAGCCCAAAAATGCAGCTTAGGTCAAAGGTATAAAAAAAAAAATCAATAATTTATCCAGAATCCCAAAGAATCTGTGTCTACATAAATACTTGTAGCTTGAGTTCCTCAATTTTCAAGCAACTGCATGAAAAGCCCAAAGCAGGGCTGGGCCTGTCTTTGTTTCCGAAGAAAAGGGCAACATGACTAAGAGGACCAATCAGGTAAAACCTAAAATAACCAAAGATTCAACCCCTGAGCAACCTGCTATCTAGGCAATAATGTGCTTTTAGGTTGGGAGACTATTTATCAAACAGAGTCTGTCACTTAATCTAACAAAAACATAAAAAAATTAAATTACATGAAAAAATGATTGACTTAGGGCAGTAAATGCAATGATGATCAGGGAAATAATATTAAAATCAAAGGCAATGGTGAAATATGGTCTAAAGCACAGTTTCCCAATCATTTCACCACACTTTCGGAAAAAACTCTTTCAAAAAATAGCACTCTTGTATTATTCAGAATATTTTTATATTTTATTACAACTTTTAGGTGGTCAGAAGTAATGGCTCTCAACTTCATTTCAAATAGAAAAAAAAAAACATGTGTACATCAAAGTTAGTGAGGATTATCTACAACTTAAAAATAATCCAATCTATCTTCTTTTACTGTATTTTTTAAATGTTAGTACTTTTTCTATTTTTATTAGAAGTATAATATAAAGTAGAAAAATGCACATAAAAATGTAAAATTGATGAATCTTTAGAAACATACCAATGTAGCCAGTATCCAGCAGAACATCCAGATTACATCAAAAAATTTAATTTAAAAATTAAAAAGTTTCTGGGACCAGCAGTTAGTGTAATGGCTATGTCGCTGGACTCCCATGTAGTCGACCACGGTTCGCGTCCTGGACCTGGTGGCTTAAAACTCATGCCAGGCGCGTATGCGTGAGTGCCCAAGATCCCAAGAGGAGAATGGAGAAGAAGGGATTGCGGTGTGGCCACCCGCCCCCCCCCACCCCACCAGGGGGGGATTTCTCGCTTTCTATCTCTCTGTCTCTCTCTGTCTGTCTGGCGAGCGCACACGCCCTATAGCAAAAACCTCTCAAAAAAAAAAAATTAAAAAGTTTCTTAAGCATAACAGACACATGTATGTGTATGGTCAAAATCCCCAAAGGAGAATGGAGAAGGGACTGTGGCCATCTTCCCAGTGGATGATTTCTCACTTTCCCTCTCTCTCTCTGGCAAGCACATATGTCCTATAACTAAAAAATAAAATAAAATTTTAAAAGTTTATTAAAAAAAAAGAAAGAAAAAAAAGATTAAAGACCCAGCATCCCAGCAGCCACCCTATATAGCCTTTCCAGACACTAATCCACTCCGAATGACTGCCCTGAATTCTAACATAATCTAGTTTCATTTTTAATGTACTTTCTAAAAACACCATACGTAGTATATATGCCTCTGACTTCACAGGAATTCAAACTGTCTAATAAACAAGGCTGACCTACACTCTTGCAGTGGTCGTTGACCACTCATCTTGCTGCTAGTCATCTTCAACTGCTGACGGCATTTGGGCGTACCCACTTTATGGCTTTTACAAACAATGCACCCATGAATTTTCTAGAACTTGTCTCCTGGTGAACATACATAGGGTATGTACTCAGGAACACCTGGAATTTTTTAAAAACCTAGACTTACCTACATAAAGTACATTTTTCAAAATTAATTTGTTAATTTGTAAGATACCAGCAATTGTAAAGCTATCATTTGGTTGTACTACTACTTTGGAGACCTTGTTAACTACCAGATAAAAAGTCAGCCCTTCTTTCCTTACGGTGAGTGCCATTTAATCACCACCTCTATAACAGCACTGACTACAAGGCATGGGAATGCATTTTTCACAGTTGGTTCCCCAGTCATAGGAAAGTAGGGGTGAGCTCTAATACAAGTTTGTATCCCCAGCTCATATGACACCCTCAGAATTTTATGAATAAATTAATGTTTAGATGAATAAATAAAAAATATGCAAACTGGTTTACCACTTACCTCTGTTTCTTTCATTAACAAGTTCAGTTCAGAAATCTGACTCTTAACCTGGCTCTCCTTCCCAATAAGGTAATCAATATCCTTTGAAAGCTTTTCCTGTTGAAACATATTCATAACACAAATGGACAGTAACAAGTTTAACCAAGGGCTGGCAGTACTCTTTTAATTACACAGTACTAATTCCCTTCTAAAGACTATGATGAACGGAGAGTAAAGTCGACTATAGTGACTATCATTATTAACTAGGGTGAATAGTTACTGTCCCTGAACACACAGAGCCAAGGACACATGGGACATGAGAAGCAGGGTGGGAAAAAGAACAAGGTAGTAGCACCCAAATCAGCCAAAAATACCGACTATGCAAACAGCACAGTTCTACTGGTTCATAATCACTCCCAAAACTCCCTAAAGGCTCCTTTTTTTGTTGTTGTTAAGAATTATTTTAATTTTAAATTTATTTATTTATTTTAATTTGACCAGAGAGGGACAGAGAGAGGAAGGAAGTGAGAAAGCATGTCACCAGGTCCGACCTCAAACCACAGTCGGCCATGTGAGAGTCCAGCGTCCTTAACCACCATGCCACCTGCCCGCCCCAGGCTTCTTTATAGTAAATGGAAGAGCAGCAATTCAGTTAGTCCTTCCCCAGATGTTATCACTTACTCTCACACACCCACACGTACCCCCCAGGAACAGTGATGAGGGGCTTCTGAGATCATCTTCACTGCCTGTCCAAGCCCACATTCACTGAACAATTACCGAGTAATGAGAATGCAGATATAAAAACAGGCAGCTTCCGGAGCTTATGAAGGAACTTATTCACAAGGTAGCCATTTTGAAATTAGTATAGTTTTCCACAGAAATAATATCAGAGGCTTTGATGAGATCCCTCGGTTAGTCCGGAAAACACACTCTGTAATAGAGCGTAAGTATATTTTTAAAAAACTGAAAATGGGGGCCAGCAGATGGCAGAGCAGTTATGTCGCTGGACTCCCACATGGTCAGCCACAGTCCGGGTGTGTGTGTGCATGTCCAAGATCCTGGGAGGAGAATGGAGAAGGGATTCTGGTATGGTCATCCCCGCTGCGGGGGGAGGTGGCGGGGGGTGATTTCTTACTTTCCCCCTCACTGACTGTCTCCAGCAAGCACATGCTCCCTAAGGCAAAAACCTCTAAAAAATAAATAAAAATGGACCAAAATAGGCCAAACACAGCAGTAAAACAATGCTCAGCAATACTGAGGCCATATGGCAAATCCCCAGGTTCATGTCTCGAGACCTCCCTGGACATGCTAAGAGCACACATGTGTGCTGTGATCCCAGCTGGCTGGGCTGTCAAGCCCAGATGTAACCCCTACACTACAGATGCCCAATGAGGCTGGAGTGAATCACAGTGTTAAGACATGGGTGTGTGCGTGTTTGGGGGGGGGGGCGTCTGTGTCTGTTTCTTTCTCTTATACAAGAAAAAAACCTTTAAAAAACTAAATCCACATGTGTCTGGCAGGTGGTGTGGTAGTGAAGGGTGCTGGACTCCCACATGGCTGACTGCGGTTCAAGTCCCGGGCCTGGGGGCTTGCTTTCCCACGTTCTCTCTCTTCTACTCTCTTGCTCGGTCCCTCTCTAGTCAAATTAAATAAGTAAATAAAAGTTAAAAAAAAAAAAAAAAACTAAAACCACAAAAAGCAAAACAAAGAAAGGCCCCCAGATAACCACGGTGTGAAAAACCATAACATACAAGTCTAAACAAGAGTGAGAACATTCGGAAATGCCTCCCAATGTGGAAGGTCTGGCGAGTTCAGCTCTCAGTCACTGCCGTTGGAAAGGGTCAAGAAAGCAAGCAGGGCAGAGACCTAGCTTTTTAGGAGTTTAAGGAGTGATTTCCCATCTACGTCATTTCCTCTTTTTAGCTTGTACCATGAGTAGGGTGAGAGAGTGTATGCAAAGGTCAGGGGAATGGTCTTTGGCAGGACCCATATCCAGAAAAACACCCCACAGTCTGGCATGGTGAGCCTCCTGGACAGCTCGCTGAAGGCACACAGGACAAGTCCTGCAGGCTGAGGGACAGGTGTCTGAGAACTAAAGGCAGAATGGGACCAAGAAAAAAATAAAGGATATTAAGAGCATGAAATGACATAACATTCTGAGTCTGGCCGCCGCATTGGAGAGGTGAGGAAACCGAAGCTCACAGAGGACCGCTATCATGGAGCCGGTACCTGAGAGACGACTCCGCACGCTCAGAGCACCAAGCGCAAGAAAACGGCAGCCCAACCTGTCCCTGCTGAGCCCAGGCCAGGACGGAAGGACTAGATGAAGGCAGTGGTACTGTGTTTTAACTACAGTAGCAGAAGAGATGAATTCGGTCATTTTCAAAAAGCTTTACTTATTTGGAGAAAGAGAGCGCTAGGTTCGCCGACAGGGTCCTCACTGCAGTCCACACCCAGTCGCCTGCACAGATCGCAGGCTGGCGCGTCTCTGGTATGCTGGGGAGGGCGGGTCCCAGGACGTGAGCCAAGACCTCTGTGGGTCCACCTGTATTACCTCTGAGTGACCCTGCCCCGGCTGTTTCAATCGAAGAAAGGCTTAGTTCTAAAGCAGCTATTTTTTATTGTGGGTCAGAGACCCAGGCGCTTGAAAACATGCCAGGGGTGCATGCATTTGCCCAAAGTCTTGATGAGCCCGGGAGGGGGGCGGGCTGAGAAAGGAGGTGACGGTGTGAGGAGACTTTGCGAAGGGTACTTCCCTGTCTCTCTAGTGGGCACACATATGCTTTCTAGCATGAATAAAATATGTATTACTATTTTTACATAAAGTTAATAAAGTTATTAAAGTTATTTTTACATTCTATATATTTATACATGTAAATTTTTTACATTAAATATACACACACACATATTTTATATATATTTATGTATGTAAAAATAAAGACAAGGCTCCTGCCTTTAGAAAGTTCATGAAATGAGGGAATTGGTTTTAAATCCTTTAAATAAATCAGGGTCCCAGTGTTCGGACTCCCATACCACTCGGCAGCTTTCCTCTGAAGCAATGGCCTCAAATGTGTGTGTAGGCCCAGGCTTCTTGATGGAGTCAAAATCTGTGGTTCTAACAAGCGCCTCAGAGGTTCTAATACCCACACAAGTTTGAGAGCCACACTTCCCTCCTTTAATCCTTGATCAAAGGTACCCACAGAGGCATTAGAATCACTAAGAGAGAAGAAAGCGAGAAAGGATGAGAAACTCATTCCACAGTCACATCAAGTACCTTGCATCTGAGCAGGCTAGAAAAAAATACCCAACTAGCATGGTCCCTGGCCTCTTAGAGTACACAGTTTTAAAGACAATCTCAGCTTTGCCCTTCCATCTATAAAAATATTCAGAATAAAATGTTGGGAAGAAAGAGTATATGATGATACATCTCATTCAAGTGTGAATATTTTCAGCAAAGATGACCAGAGTTTCCACCACAAGAGCAGTATAAATCATCTCTCACATACCCTAAAACACAGATGCCTATTACTTCCTCGCTTGGTGGGGACTGCACAGTTTCTATTTTTCTAGGTGCCAGCTGTTAATCATGTCTAAAATCAAAAAGCCATCATTTTCAGTACAGGATAACAGTATAGGAAAACAAGCTCCCTCTTAGACATTTATGGAAATAATCGATAAGGAAAAAAACAGCAAATATTCCTCAGCCAGGTAACTACTAGTTGTAGAACAGATAAACTAAGGAGAGCTAACAACCTGTCTGATGAGGAAACTGAAGAGTTGTGTGAGAAGTTGAGGAATCCCAGAAAACCCGTATCCCCCCTAAGACAGAGAAACATGTGCTGAGATATGGCCAGGCTTGGGAGAGACAGCGGGTACTCAACTGTAGCCCCTTGTTCAGGGTAAACAGAATTCCAGCAGTCCAAGCTGGTCAGAGGAAATGGCAAACTGGATTTCCCATGGATGAAGCTGGCAAGAATTCTCACTGCTCCCAGCACTGGAAGTGTGAGGTCAGTAGCAGTGGCTGATTATGGGAAGGGTGGAGTCTGTGCTCTGGTCTGAAAATGTCTCCCCCCGAATTCACATACTGAGATCTGGTTCCAGATGCTATGGGATTAAGAGAGTGAATTCTTAATCCAACCATGGTGTTGACAGGTGGGACCTTCGGGAGGAGATTAGGACTGAACAGCAGAGTAGGGCCCCTTGACAAATCCAGGTGGACTAATAAGGAAATGAGACACAGAGACACAGACACGTGTGGCCTCCCTCTGCTCTCTGCCATGGAGCATATGGTCAGAAGGCCAACTGCAAGTTAGGAGGAACCCCTCACCAGATACAGCCTCCTGACCTGGGGCCTCCAAACCCATGAGCTAAAAATAAATAGGGACCAGCAGTTGGCATAATGGCTATGTCACTGGACTCCCATGTAGTGAACCATGGTTCTAGTCCTGGACCGGGTGGCTTGGACTCACACCAGGCGCGTGTGCATGTGTGCCCAAGATCCCGAGAGGAAAATGGAGGAGAAGGAACTGAGGCGTGGCCATCCCCTCAGGGGGTGATTTCTCACTTTCTGTCTCTCTATCTCTCTCTGTCTTTCTGGCGAACGCACGTGCAAAAACCTCTTCAAATAAATAAATAAACAAACAAACCCCTATTCTTACAAATCACCTAGACTCAGGTACTTCTTATTAGCAACAGAATGAACTAAAACAGAAAATGCCTCTGTGACGGGGGAGCGGGGAGGGCGGCGAGTGACAGAAACAGATGATTTTATAGAAAGAAAAATAACAACAACACAAGACAGCTAGCAGAAAGACTGCCAGAAGGGAAACTGTTCTTCTAATCCACTCCTTAACTATCTAGGCCAGTTTGCCCTTTAGGGTAAGCAGTTTCCAGAATTCACCAAATGCCACAACACGGTTCACCTGTACTGGAAGCCAGACCAAATAGAAGTACAGGTGGGAAACCTGGCCCCTGCTTCAGTAGTTTTAACAAACAGTGAAAAGACCAAAAGAGTTACCCTCTTGTGATGTCTGCTTCTCTTTTTCAATGCTCAAGTGACCAAAATAATATAAATGATACTACGAACCTCTATCGGGTAGACTTCCACAGCTTAAAGTATAAAGTTAAAAGGAAGGAAATCTGTTTCTTTTGGCAAATTGTTTCCTTATTAAAAAGTGAATAAATTGAAAAATCCATTGTGAATTCTATTTTTAAAGACTGAAACATAAATGACAAAAATTAACAAAGCATGTGAAAGATAGCTTAAGTGTATATTATTGCCAAAGATTTACTCCAGGTAATAGAAAAAATATTGCAGAGCTTGCATTAGATCAAGCCAATAAGAAACTAAAACAAAAAGGTGTTAAATTTAATTACAAACCGTGGTGTGTGGGGATGCCATGGGGGCATGACAAAGCCTGGATTTGCTCCCACTTGCAACAACTGAAAAATTTAATGAAATATTTGATCTAGCTCCCAAGACAGTGGACATCAGGAAACAGAGATCTTTCCCTGAAAGATGAGAACCGAGATGAACCTATGACTTCCTTCGCTTACTGTCTGGAGAAGTTTCCAAGGCCTAGGGCAGAACTAAACTCCTAGGGCACCAAGTCTGCTAGGAGTTGAGAAGATGGAGCTGGGATGCAGCGAGCCCCACATTTCTGAGGCATAACACCTAAGAGAGAGGTGAGAGGAAAAACTGCTGGAGATGGACAGAGGATCCCCCTTACATATTCAGCGGAATACTGACCCACTGTGTGTAAGGTAACTACAGAGACCCGGGAAAGAAGAACTGGACACAATCAGAGGGGACAATTCCAGGAGCTTGCAGAAGGCTGGGAATAATACCTGCTTCCCCCAGCCGAACTTTAGCTCAAAATTCATGGGCACTGGAAACCATAACCAAAGGGTTTAACCTTACCAGTTGGGCAAAATTAGCCCTGGATGCATGCTGCTCTGCCCTAACACAGCTTAAAAGAAAGATACAAAAGGAACAGATTGTTTCCAAGTAAATGAGTTACACACACAAAGAAAATTCAATAATATTTGTAGAAATAAAAAAATTCTATCACCCAAAAAGGTGAAATTTACAATATTGGCCACCTATCAAAAATTACCAGGCATTCAAAGGAGCAGGGAAACATAAATTGTAACAAGAAATAAAATCAATCAAAACTGACTTGACAATGACGCAGATGAGAGCTCTAATGGACAATTATACCCACACTCCACAGCTTCAAGATGATGGAAGAAAGATGGAGTAGGACAAAGAGAGAACTCTAAGTATGCAATTAGATGTAAAGCAAAAAACATATAGACATGTTGTTAAAGATAGAAAGGAAACTATTAAACTGGGTAGAGTTTATGGTTGGATTAAATCCTTTAAGGATTGCTTAAAGGAAAAAAGAATGAGACAAAAAATTTAATATTTTACTACTGCCAGCTGTGGTATTGGTAATCAAATTTGAAAGTTTTAAAAGAGCACATATAAAGTCAACAGACAGAAAGCAATTCAGTTTGGGCTATTAGGGGTGCTACCAGAATAAGCAAAAAAAAAAGTTTACAGTAATTCTACAAGCAAGAAACAAGAATGAAATGTCTGAAAACAGCTACAGCCCTGCAAAGCATGTCATTCCTATGTGTGCTCAAGGTCACCAAACTGCACCATTCTGGGGTCATGCTATGGAGTCCTCCATACTGCCCCCCCCCCAGGGTTTAGAACTGGCACGGCATAGGCTAAACATGTGCCACCATGCAGTCAGAAATGCTAACAACCTGATATTATTATTATTTATTATTTTTATAGAGAGATTTTTGCTATAGGGCACGTGCACTTGCCAGACAGACAGAGGGACAAAAAGGAAGAAATCACCCCCAGGGGAATGGCTATGCTGCAATCCCTTCTCCTCCATTCTCCTCTTGGGATTTTGGGCATGCACCTACACGTGCCCAGTATGAGTTTTAAGCCACTAGGTCTGGGACTTGAACCACGGTTGACCATGTGGGAGTCCAGTCACTTAACCACTATGCCATCTACTGGTCCCTAATCCGATATTATTAACTAACATGTCCCACTGTTAACTCATTCCAGTAAAACAACCATATTTATAAGTAAAACTTAAAAGTATAAAGTTATGAAGAATCAAAGTTCAGTTTCGGAAATAAGCACATCCTACCTTTAAGGTTTTGTAGGCACTGCTCATGGTGGTGACACGGTGATTGGAGTGATTGCCACCCAGCTTACACAGGTGACACACTGGCCGCCTGCACAACTCACAGTACATGTTTATTCTCTCCGTCTCATGCTCTGGGCACATTAAGATCTTGCAAGTAAAAAATAAAAGTGTGATTAAGGTTGTGGTTTTAAGTAATCTGAAAATCTCAAATACAAAGATTTACCATATAACATCATCTTTTAAGTCAATAAAAGCATAAAAGGAAATAAGAATGCTCAATACATCACATGAACACTTCATATCAATTTGAGAATTCAAATGGTTAACTAAGTATGGGAATATTACTTCTGAACTCATGATGAAAATGTAAAAAGTTTAGTTTCAAATAGACTCAAGTGGAATACCTAACTGAGCTGAACAGGTCCTAACACTAAGTAGGCAATATTTTTAAGAGATTATGGAAGGATTATTATATTTTTTTAATGTCAAGGTTTATGGCATATGGCTGAAGTAGGGTAGATTATTGAGATATCAGATGGCAAAAACCATGTTTACTGTGGCACAGATTACACCTCCCAGCTGGTGATAAGGCTTTATCCATCTTTGCTGCACTTCTCAGGTGTCTTCTTCCAAGTGACTAGGGCACATCTGCACCAAATAAAAACCTATGCCGTGGCAAAATTAGCCTCAGGGTCTTCCCCGACCCCCACACCCAGGGATGAACAGCCACGTTCCCTGGTGCTGTATTTCTCCTGCCTGATAAAAGCCTTGCTATTCCTTCAGAAACCAGATTCAAGCCACTTGCTCCTGTGAAGAAAAACTAGAAAACAATTCCTGATCGGGAGCTCTGTTCCTCGGTAATGCTCTCAGCAGACCCGTCTGCTCCTGTTCACTCGCCGGGTAGGTGGGAAAGGGTGTCAGTGCAAGGACAAGTCTCAGTCAATGGTCGGCTCTTCCTGCTGTCCTTAAGGTGTCTTGTACGGGCCTTAGGAATCAGCCGGCTCTCTGTGCAGGGGCTGGCGAACTCTCAGGTCTTAGGCATCATCCTGAATTGCTCCCTTTGCAGAGACGGAGACATCAAAATGGCCCTAAACCCTTATTTCTAACCGTCGTGGCTTGCTGTATCACAGCAGCTGAATTTGAAGCAAGTTCAGTGCCACGGCCACCAAGGACCACCTCATCTTTCCGGGCTTGAGACACTGAACGAGCGACACCTCATAGCTTTGGAAGCTCCGATGTGTTCTTCACCCCAGAAATTCCGATTTCAACAAGAAGAGTGACGCCGAAGAGGAAATAAGCATACGAGGACCTTGTCTTGCAGCGGAAGCCCCGGGTCACGGCCTGGGTCGTGTTCTGGACGTGACCGCAGTGCGAACTGCAGCCAGGTCCTCTGTTTGCCCACCACTTGTCAGCGGAGCCTCCTCTTTTTCTCTCCAAGGAGACTGAAGTCCCGCCACAGGGTCCCTCTGGGGCCTTTCACAGTAACGGTGTCCCTTCAGAGTTATCTCAAGATTTTCGGGAATGTTGACAGTCTGCTGAGAATGGTCTTCATTCTTGAAGTAGATGCAGCAAAGAGAGGTGTAGACAATTTTTAATGACCACGGTCACTATTTTTATGAGGTAACATAACAACTTATGAGAAACTGTGGCCCCACTATCCTTATAAGAATCTGTCACTAAGAGAGTCTTAGAACACTTTATTTGAAAAACTTCTGGATGTATTTCTTTTTTGCTATTAATTACAAATGCACTGACCAAATTTAGAAATGTGTATTTCTGAATCGATTAAGCCTTTGTATTTACTTTGTAAACATGCATTGTAGCTACATTTGAAATTTTATATAAAGTAACTTTTCATTTGGAAGAAAGGTGGGATTTCTTAAGGATTCTTTTAAGTCGGTATGTTCATTAAATCAAAAAGGTGTTCAGTATTTCAACAAATTAGATCTTAAGCAATTATAACTGATCTAATAACTTACAGACATGAAAAACAGAAAGCTAATATGTAATATAGGTTCAAGAGAAAAATAACTGGGAAAGATTTCAAATTGTTCAGCATATCCTAATTCCTACATTCCTACATTTAAAGCAAAATAAGAAGTTTGGCTTTCTGCAAGATATGATCAAAGGAATTCAATGTTACAGGCAAATACTCCATAGGATAACAGATACCCTTTCAGAATTTACTATAATGAATAGCCTAACTACTTGGGGAAAGAATTTTGTCCATATAACCTATTCATATTTCTTTGGTTCTCTCTCATCAGTCTTTAATCTATAAATAGAGAATATTTTGGAAGCTTTCCCCCTTTTTCTATTACAAATTAAAGGTGGTAAGCTTAAGAATACAAATACATTTTCATATTCATACAAGTTACTAAATTGTAAGGAAAATTAACTTTAAACCAATTATACTTTCTAAAAAATCTATATAAATCAGAAGTGACAATTGTTCAGTTGCACAACAGAGCAAACCACAATTTATAAAGCTCGTGTGCTCATTATTGCAGAGGTTACCCAGAATGTCTGAGAAGTTTTGCATATTCCACTTAAGGTCTACAACCAACATAGTACAAGCTTCAAAATACTAGGTTATAATCACTCATTCATTCATATCACAATTTTAGCTAACTATAAACAGCAGAAAAATATGTTTCCCAATCATATTTTTGGGCAATTATAGCTTTATCACACTAAAGCACAAAAGCATTTTAATTTAACCATTTCAACCTCCGAGAGTATATCTGTTGTAACTTTCCTCTATCACTTAGAACTATCATTATGAACATTCCTTGTGTTGTATCACACTAGACTGAAACAGAAAGAACTACAACGCCTGCCTTCTAAGGTGTGGGGAATGTTTAGACCCATACTAATCATCCCCAAACTGGGCACATTCTTAAACCTGCTTTTGAAGTTTTCTTTCTACCTAATTCTAGACACACCACTTCTGTCATAACATCAAGCTTAATACTTACCTTGGGTCTAAAATTAGTGGTTGGCCCCACATACTCATGCTGAGCCTTGACAGTACCCCATGGGTGATAAATTTTGAAGCATTCATTGCAATAGCTTGCACTGCAGTCCATGCAACTTTTCGTGGACTCCTGAGGTGGTGGCTTACACAGGTCACACATGATGGCTGTGGCTGCCCTAGCTGCCTGTCTGTACCTCTCGACAATAGTTTCCAAAGTGAAATTTCTAAACAGACCGTTGATCCCTCGTTCTCCAAGATCCACATCATGCTCACAGCCAGGGCAAGGAAAAGTAGTTGTCCTGGGGGTCAATGAACTGCGCTTCCAACCTGTGTAATCAGTGAGTCTTCATTTAGTTACATCAGCAG